ACAAGGACAAGCTTGTACGCGCCTTTACGAGCTCTTCCATGAAGTGGATTTTCATACCACCAGCATCGCCACACACGGGTGGTGCCTGGGAAAGGCTAGTTAGGTCGGTAAAAGACGTCCTTTCGAAGATACTACAATCGCAACGACCGTCTGACGAGCTATTGCGAGGAGCCTTAATGGAAGTCGAATCCATCGTCAACTCCCGACCACATACCGACCTACATACCGCTGGATCACTATGAAGACGAGGCTCTCACACCAAATCACTTCTTGATTGGCAGCTCCAGCGGAATGAAGCCCTTGATAGAGTTTGTTGATGAAGCAGTTCAATTGCGAAGAGGTTGGAGATGTGCTCAGCAACTGGCGGATGCATTCTGGAGACGTTGGGTGCGCGAATATCTACCCGTAATAACTCGGCGAACAAAGTGGTTCGAAAAGGTAAAGCCAATTGAAGAAGGGGACGTCGTCTACCTAGTGGACCCGAACGGTCCGAGAAGCTGCTGGCCCAAAGGTCGAGTGATCTCTGTTAGAGTAGGCTCTGACCAACAGGTGAGGAGCGCTTTGGTGAAGACTAGCGCTGGTATATACGAGCGACCGGCCACGAGACTTGCCGTACTTTCCGTGAGTATACCGGAGAATGGGGTAGATCCGAAGGATATACCAGGGGGGAGTGTTAGAAAAGATACGGCAACACCCTAGTGAATCGAAAGGAATTTATGGGGGACGTTTCTGCGATTGTTTTGACATTCTGCCTTTTTGATCTCTTTTTTGCACGTGTGCACACATAAATTGAAAATTTAAATCAGGATTGATCCCTTTTTGTACTAAAGTAAGTGCTATATAAAATAAATGTAATTATCATTTATTGAACAATTAAAATAAATTCACAGATATTTCAAACGACAGTCAAATAAAAGCGTTTTGAGAATTTGGGCGTGGGATCCATCACTGAATCCGTAACAGTATCATTATATTATGTAAAGTTATGTTATGTTATCAAGTTATGTTATGGTATGGTATGTTATGTTATATTATGATGTTATGTTATGTTATGTTATATTACGATATAATGTGTTGCGAGTTGTGTTGTGTTATGTTTTGTTGTGTTGTATTGTGTTCTGTTTTGTTGTATTGTGTTGTGTTGTGTTAAGTTATGTTAAGTTATGTTATATTCTGTTATATTGTTCAACGCATTTCACCTCAATTCACTTCAATACTCAACTACACTCAACTCGGCTCAGCCCACCTCATCTCTGCTTTATTTAAAAGGTTGAATTTCAACCGCTGGGCGAACACTAGTAACATTAATTGTCCTAGAAATTTTACTGCCATGCTTAAATGCACAATTTTTGCCTTTTCTCCTCTACTTTTTTCTCGTCGTCACAGAGCACAGCACCAAATCGAAACAACTTTGCGAGATGGCCACACAGACCATCACAATAACGAATATACTCACAAATTTAGATAGTATCGCTTACAGTCAGATCCCCTATGCGGATCAATGTGTGCCAAATAACAATCATCAAGAACAACAACCACTATCCCACGAAACCACAAGCGAAGCAGAAGTGGTGGCTAATAATAATAAAATCAATCAGCTGCAACATGGCAACCCCAGTATTCTAGCGCATGCAACATCAGCTACAACAACAGTAGCAACAGCAGCGACATCGGGAACACCGCCTGCAGCATCGTCAGCGACAGTTATCGCAGTAAATAGCCCAGTAACATCACCACCGCCATTGCATGCGCTCAGCAACCACGTAATGTTGCAGCAACATGTTGCGCAGCAAAATTGCAGCAGTAACGTAAGCACAACTAGTGGCAGCAATATGCTGCCCTCCAACGAAATCAGCAAAACGCAATTTGCCACAACGAATTTATAGCTAAACGAGCAAAATATCACGGCTATCAACGCAGACGCCGTCGCCTCCTTCGCCACCAGCAGCGCAGCACAAAAAGCAATAAGTGGCTGTGGTAGCTGCGCTGCTGCTGCTGAGGCGCAACGGAAATGTGGCAGCTGCAGTGAAAGTCACAAGCACAATAACAACAACGATAGCAATAATGCTGCCACCCAACAAGCGATCACTACCAGCAACAACAACAGTGACGGTGGTGGTGGAGGTGGTGGTGGTGGTAACAATTGCTCCACAACCGACACAATGAGCGCCACTACAGTCACCAGCAAAAGGGGGAACAGCAGTAGCAATGGTCAAACCACCATCAATGCCGGCAGTGGCAGCGTGAATGCTTCCAGTAGTAAAAAGCGCTGTGCCATCCCCGTATGAGAGTGCGCGGATGTGCCGAAGGCGCTTGGGAGTGTATGGGAAAAAAGAAAGTCATTTTCATGAGCATTTCGCAAGGTACATACACACATACATATATGAATACACACGTACATACCCTGCAAAAAATGGAACTAATCCGGGATGACTCCGGGATCAATCGCCAAGGAGCATGCGACTAATACCACTTTTGATCTCTTTATATGGAATGAACTGATCGCTTTTGTTCGAGCATGTCCTATGAAGAGACTAATTGTTCACCTTTATACCCGAACGGGTATAAAAAGCGACTAGTCACTTTTAAAAAATAAAAATAAAAATTTGCGCCAGCCGCGATTCGAACCGGGGTGCTCAGTTTTGTTAGGCGAATACTCTCTCTGTGTGCCAACGCCGCACATGAAATTTCATTGACTAAGTGCGCACATATCATTAAATCGTTAAAAAGTACCCGTTAGGGATGAGTCGGGGACTAATTGATCTCCAATTATACCCGCAAGGGATGAGTCGAGACTAATTGACCTCCAATAGTACCCGTATGAGACTAGTTGCGACTAATTAATGCCCAATTGTACCCGATTGAGAGGAATCTCGGAATACTCTCTTTAGAGATTAGTCGCACAATTTTTGCAGGGTACGTACTAAAGAGTACACATAAAGTAAGTAGAAGTAAAAATTTTGAGTAAAACTTGTTTTGAATGAATTAAGAATTGACTGCTTATTTCTTAAGTTTGAAGCATAGTTAGCGGCGTTGAGCCACATACGAGCCTACGAGCCTATTTGAGTGGTGGTAAAGGTTGTGTATAAAATCGCTTATCTTTAATTGTTAATTAATGAACTTGCAAAAATTATATAAATAAATAGCAGATGTAAAGAAATTAAAATGAATTTAGTTAGTTAAGTGAGCCACTAGAGTAGCCAAGTTAGAAAAAATTATAATTAAGTAATAAAGTCACTTAGAATATTTAATACTTAAACACATGTAAGTTAGGGGCGAGCGAATGAGTTTTTGACAGCGTGGAAGAGTTAAGCACATATTCTCTTTCATGTGAGCGCTGAAAAACTACAGAATATGAATTAATTCTCCACTGTGGAGACGGCAATTAACTTCACTTTAGGCCCTTTGAATCAAAACTTAGCAATTGCTTTTTCTTAAAATTGCAGACCTTTTACTCGATTTATTAAAAAAAATTTAGTTGAAAGGTCTGGAAATTTAAGAAAAAGCAGTCACTTCATTTTTGTTCATAAGGCCCGTTATCCAGCTTTATCTTAGTATCACAGTTCTTTGTGCTGAGAAGAGTTGAAAACTCTATACTTTCTGATACAGTTGGTAATTACTTCAATGGATCTGTGGTCCGCTGGCTGAGTATCAATAATTTTTTTGAGAGAATGTACACCTGTTTTTGGGAAAATATCTATGTATATTCATTTAACTGCTACTTGATGATTTATAAGCACTAATTTTATTATATAAAATTGTTGTCACCGCAAAGAAATAAGTAGCAGCCTTCATTCTGGCGCTATTTTGGTTTATTTACTGTATCAAAAGTTCGTTGGGTCCGAACCAATGTTGATTTTGTAAGCACATTTTTTGGATTTTTTGAGTTACAACGATAGGGCTGTCTGGCTGCTACAGAAGATGCCCTCTCTAGGTTTCTAAGTGAGATTACGTGCTGCCCTTTGGATGGCAAACACTTCTTGAAATACCCGTGACTCACTGATGTGCATAGGATAACTGAATGGCCAGAGATTTTATTGAACCATGAACTGGCTGGCTAAAGAGACTGATGCTTTGTATTTTGACGTTTTGGAATCCACCCATCCTGTGCTTTATTAACTACGTTAATTTTCTAGCCGAAATCAACATTGATCTGAAAGTGTAATTTTGCATACATTTTGCGATAACCAATAACTACTTTAGTAAGTTGTGTTGTGTAGCCACTCTCAACATTTTTATCGATAAATTTTTGTCAGACCACAGACCATATTTCTTTTATTAAGCTAAAACATCAAAATGTAAGCAAATATTACGCTAAAAATGTGATATTATTTAGATATAAAATTAGTAGAAAAAACTTTTGTGTGAAAATGGAGTGTGTTATTATAATATAAGTATTTTCATATTTTTGTAAGTCTGTTGTAACAACAAACTAATTGAGTATTTGTGAAAAAAATCAAAATGATGATAAGACGATTTTGTTACAAAAGGGATAGCAACTAGTATTAAGGATAAATAAATTTCATAGATGGTAGACGCCAAAAATTAAGACTAGGGTATCAAAAGAAATATTCAAATAAAATTATCCCTTCTGCAACCTAATCAAAAGCACCAATAAAAAGCCTATTTAAATTTAAATGATAACGCAGTGGATAGCAGTTAAATTTATTCTGTTGTTTGAGCCCAACAACGCAATGAATTTAATTGGAATTGTGTTTTAATGAAAAGCAAGCGGCGGAAGCTTTACCAATCTTATATATGATATGAACCCAGTCGGAAAAGTAGTAATGCATTACATGCGTGATAAATAGTGTAATGTATTTGTTATGAGTTCTCGATTCTATTACTATTAACTATGTAATCCGCGTTCTCATTTATCCAAAAATTTTGCAAAAATTTCATATTAAATCACATTCATTTCTCGATACTAGATAGTGGAAAATTGAATGTCCCACTTTTCTTAGGACAACGCCGTGGGGGAAAAATGCATTGCGATTACTATACATTACATTTTCCCACTGGGAATGTAAGCAAGTTCCGTGCGCGAAAGCAGTGAGCTTACAGCGATGAAAGCTGAAAGCTGCTGCAAATGCTGCTGCGAACAAAGAGCTTTAAAGCTCTTAATCTGTTTTTTTTTTTAACTCATAACATTCTTTTGCAGTTTACTTTTTAACGAAATTTGCCTTTCTAACCACTTCGCTTTACAAAACTAAAACTAGTGCAGTAATATTAGTGTGTTCCACTAAAAATTTTAATTTAAGTTGTTAGGAATTGTGGAAAATGTAAATATGCATGGCTTGTGAAAGCGATGGTTTAGTAATTAAAAATAAATAAAGAATAACTACAATTGAAAGCGTTGCAATATTCCTTATAGTTTTAAATATAGTATGTACTTGTAAAATGTTAAGCTTACTAGTATCATTTCATTTAAATGAACTAGCATTGACCCTACTTCCTTATAAAAGCACATTTGACCTTATTTGGTAGCATACTTTTCCGTTTGCGTTCAATAATTTATTGTACCAACTTTGTACTAAAACATGTAAATAGGGGTAAAACATAAATTATAATTTTTTTTTTATTTTAATGTATTTCGAAGAATAAATTTTTGCTGTAAAGCAAGGAAGTAGGGCTATATGTATGTACTATTCACATACACTTTAAGGTGCAACAATGCATACAAAAACCTGCATTACAGCATATAAAAATATGCAAATGAGTTATGGCAAACTGAATTAATTGAAAAAAAAAACTCACAAAAAAAACTTAAATAAATGTTTCCATGTAAATATGTTTGATTGTAAGTGAATAATAGGTTAAATTATGATTTGCAATCTAACTGCAAGTGAGTACCTAAAATTATTAATATCTATGTATATGTAAACTGTTTAAAGTTATTCAATTTGAAATACATAAATACAAATAAATTTGTCTACATAAATTAAGTATGCAGAAACGGTTATTACTACTACATATGAAATATGGAAGCAAAAACACAACATATTAAAATTCTGAATAAAATAAACTAATTTGAACAAGAAATAACAGTTTTTTTTTTACAGATTTCAAATACAAAAATTATAGTTTTTATTTTTGCAATAATTTCATATTGAGCAGAAAAAATGTGAATCAGCTATTTCAACGTCGACCCAGCACCAACGCTTCGCCAGATTCCAAGGACAACCTAGTCAAATTGATTTCAGTACTATGGAGTAAGAAGATATACAATCACACCCTTGGCTCCTTGAATTCTAATTTTGTAACCCTTGCACACTCACCCAATAGTCTTCGACGAATCTGCGCTGAGTATTTTAAGATTCATTGCATTCGGCAGATATGTGTCAAAATCGGTTTGTAAATTCACAGTTTTAGCTGCGTTACCTAAATTAGCAACAAACACAATAGTTTCCTCACCAGCCAGAGAACTGAAAAGCCGAACGCACACAATGAAAATGGCGAAAACAAGAAAAAACTACACTATATACCGTTTCAAGACGAAAACGCCATCATCAAGCGCTTTGTATTTATACGCGCCATTCTGCAACGTTTTCGATGTCTTGCGCAACTCTACCAGAGACTTGTAGATCGCCAAATGCGAGTACGCGCTGGAGCTCTCCACCTCCACATTGAGTATTTCGTACTCTGGCGCAAGTGGCAGCCATGTCTTCGCCGCACTCGAAAATCCTGGCAAAGATGCATTTTTGTTTTTGGGCATGAAATTTATGTAGAATTCCAACTAACTTAAACCGCCCCACTCACCCGCGTTTTTGCCATCAGACCACTGGAATGGCGTGCGCGATGGATCACGCGTGAATTTCTCGTATATACTTGTGTTCGAATTGCAGGCAGCAGGGTCGACGGTGTCCTCCCACGAAATCACACCGTCAATCATGCCCAACTCCTCACCCTTTATTGTTAAGTGTTAGTGTTGTAGCTGAGCCAAAGAACTACGCGTGACACACTCACCTGATAGGTTACACTTGCACCTGGCAAAATCATTACCAACATATTCATGGCGTCGGTGTTCTGAGCGCCATAGCGGCTGGCCGCACGACGTTGATCATGATTACCGATCTGTAAACATCGAAATAGTTTTGTGTATAAACATGCGATCGTTAACTCGCTAACTTGGTTTTCTTTCTTTCACACTTACAACCCAGTTGGCTGTTCGCCCCGCTGGCATATTATTCAGCCACTGATCGATCGCCTGCTGCACGAGCGGCGCCGTCACGTCGGGCTTTAGTCCGGTAATCAAATTGAAATTGAACGGCAAATGCGCACCCTCCACCGAGCGATTGCCGTACATCTGCATGGTGTAAGCGGGCGGAGCGTAGGTTTCAATTAGTAGCACACGCGTATCACCGCCATGAATGCGCTGATAATCGTCCATCACTTGG